CCCCCCCAACACGCACCACCTAGGACTACATACCATAGACAGTCCAGCTAACTCTTCCCACATTGACATCCTAATCCTAGGGTTATTAGGCCCATATGTCCCCGTAAACCACCATTCAAAACCCTATCTGTGTTTTTTCTAACCAAGGAAATGAATTTCCCCTCTAAATCTTCTACCACAACTAACCTCTCATCCCAAATATGATAGAGATCGAAATGGAAATGAATAAATTTAAATTAAAGAATATGAATATATTATTTATTTTAGTATTGTTGTATTAATTAGAGAATATTTGTTTGATTATGATTGTTTTAGTAATTTAAATGTGAGGGTTTCATTAGGAAACTACTTTAGGATTTGGTTAGGAAGTTTTTATAGGGTTTTACTAGGATAGTAATTTTTAGAGTTTGATTATGAAACTATTTTAGAATTTTAGGAGAGTAAATTTTGTTTTGGTAGGAGACTTAACCAATAAATATGGATGTAAGCCCTACTATTTCATGGTAGAGAGTGATATTAATAAAAGTGTTTCTCCGTGGAGAATCTGTGTTTCTTAATTGATTTCTTGTAAGTATGAGATAAATCATTTCCATTCTTTCTTTCTTCTCCTTTTTCTATTATTTTTCTTTCTTTTTTCCTCCCAATCCAACATCATTTAGTATAGATATGATGTAATAAATAAAGCATATATGAAAATCGTCTAGTACATCATCATTTGAAATACACAAGTTATAAATCAAAGATTTATACATTTGAAGCCAAACTATCATTCGCCTTGCATTCAGACAATATAATCAATCAAACACTAGTCACTTAAGAACCATCCCCGGAAACATTTTGGGTCTTGTACTCTAGGGTCTTATCGCATTTCTTTTGCTTTTTTGAGGGATGTATAGGGCACAACTTGTAATGTCACACGTCATCATTAAAAATCATTACCATCACCAATCCCCCTTTAGACTAGTAGTTGCCTTGACACCCCCCTCATGGGCTCCAATCGTCTACTAACACTTTGCATGTTGTTATCGAGCATATACACTTTGCAAAAATGTCATTTGCTATATCCATAACCCCTTTTGAAAACCCAACCTTAAGCACAAAAGAAAAAAGAAAAAAGAAAAAAGAAAACTTATGCCACAACCTTGGCATTTTATCAAACATGTAGCTGGCACATAATATCAAGATTTGTATTTTCAAAGCAACACAACTATTTTCAAGAGAATAAGTCATATATATTATGTACAAGATCATAACAAACTCAAAAACCACAAATCATAGGTTTAATCAAATACCCCATAACCAAAATCAAACTATAGTTAGAACTACAACATTAACATCATCTTTATGCATGTATGTTCACAAATTCGTGACATTGAAACCAAACATTAAATCAAGCTTTGCAACAACTATCCAACATATATTAACCATTATATATAGAAAACACATGAGATGCACAATATAAATTTAAGAGAGAGGAAAACCTTGCCTAAAAACCAAAAATTCTAAGTTAATTTCCTAGATTTCTCAAACAAAGCTCAGACCCTAGGGATCCTCTTCTTCCCTCTCTCTAGTTCTAGGATTCTAAGCGTGGTATTGGAGGTGTGAGAGAAATGAGGGTGAAAATGAGGTTTTATGCATAGAAATTCCCATCGGATATTGTTCTTCAGGCCAAAAATACATCTGCAATTCACCCCTAAAGTCCATCCCAAGTAAACACTTAGTTTTATGAGTTATGCTCAAAACATTGAAATGCCCATTTTATTCCTTCGGACCGCTATATAAGATGAACGTTTATCCCTAAGTTTCTTGACCTTCTTAATTCAATAGTAATATTATTTTGGCCTAAAATATTTTAAAAATTTACCTAGTTACTCTTATCAAACTTAAATGCCTCCGAAATTAAGTTTGGCACGAAAGTCATTACGAGTGAAACTCAAACTTCGCGACTATTCTTTTAGCAATGATTCGAAATTTCTATCATCATTTGAAAATACGAGTAAGCTAATATAATTTATATTCAAAGAAAACACTAGATCTTATATAACCTTATTCACATCAAGAGGTTTTACAATTTATGTTTCAAATCTTTGCTCATCAGATTCTTTATTCACTCGAGGATTTTCCTTTTCAACTACAACAACATATTTTATGCGGCATTGAAAGGATAGATGACCAAAACTATGACAATTAAAACATCTCATCTCAGGATTAGTACTTCCTTGAGTAGTAGCGCTAGTCGGAGATAGTTTGTTTGGAGTAAAAGTACTTTGTTTAGATTTATTAATGGACTTAACTTGACTTGCATCTACAAAAGTTCTTTCAATTTTGGTTGTAGATAAGTATACTTGAAGCTAAACCCTAAGAAATCTATGAATGGAGACCTTGCCTATACATTCTCATACTTTGAGGTGTTCCATAATATTTCAAGATTTTTTGTAATATTTCAATGCATTTGCACAATTGTTAAGGAATGTTTCAATGTATTTCAAGATACTTTGGTATATTTTGAAAAAATAATTCTTAATTTTTTTTATTTTTTTCAATTCTGCTTTCGAAATTGATTGAAACGTTTCTGAAACAAATCAAAATATTTCTATTTCCTAGGTGATTAAAAAAATGCACCGAAATTAAATTTTGATCATCGGATATATGTACTAGGAAAAAATCTTGTACCTTTGATAAAGAGTTTTACGAATCATGGAATACAGTTTTTCTTTGGGGAAACAAACAAGAAAGCAACTTCTTGCAAAATAACACAAACAACCAAGGACTGGAGTGGACCAGTTGGAGGCACTCTGATGCTTAAGTCAGTAAGGGCTCCAAAAATAAGAAAGAAAGATTGCAAGGTAATAAGTGCGTACCTTAATCTTAAGCTGTACCCAATATTTGTAGTAGTCTGTATCCTCTTCCAGGGTTTCCATCATTGGCTGTAAAGGTGGCACACCTATATTTTAGCTAAATCTTTCTTAATGCATGGAGGAATCTTTTCAGGCTTCTTTTGTTACTCGTCAATTATTTAGGTCACATGTTTTTAATTTATTTCTACGATTTAGGTAATTTTCTTATTGGTTGCCTAGCACCACCTCTGATTTTTCGGGATGGCCTAGCCATCCATCTGTTCAGTCTTATCATTCAATTGCCTAGGCTTCATCCCATTATTAGCTTGAGTTTCTAGGGATAGTCTGGCTATCTTTTGTTCCAATAAGGATTGATCTTCAGAGGATAAAGTCGAACTTCATTCAAATTCTATTCTTGTAAGACCTCTTTCTTAATTACGCTTCATTAGACTCTGCTTTATATTTGTTGGATACTCGAGGATACGTATCGGATACTCCTACATATTCGATATTTATAAAATATTTCGATACTTTTATATCAAAACAATATGTATAATTTTTGAATTTAAACTTTAATATCTCCTTTCAAATTCACATATCATATAATATATCAACAAAAATGCATATTGCTTTGACGACACATCAGTATTTTTTAAGTATTTTCTACTATTATTACATGTCAAAAGAGTATAAAATGAATCTATTACATTATAATCTTGGCTATAAATTCTTCTAAATAAACCGAGTAAATATCACTTTTGATTCCTTTAATTAGTTACTTCATTTTTGTGAATATACCATAATGATATGTTATACTTTTTTTTAAAACTAGAATTTTTTTTGCAAATTTTCCGTATTATGTTAAAAAATTACCAAAATATATAATTATTAAGTATGTAGATAATAGTAAAAATATAAAATATATTTTGTTATAGACGTATATTGACAGTATTCGTATCCGTATCCATGCTTTATAGGATATACGAAATGATGATGCGCATTATGTATTGCAAAATTGCATTGGTTTAATATTGACAATGTTTGTCCAATGTGCAGTCAATTATTTGATACATTTATGCATTTCTTATTCTGGGAGACTGGTTTGCTGACCGACAAAGCAGCTGTGACGACCAGTTTTCTGGTGGTTATGACATGTTAATTATTAATTGCTTACTGATAGCGTAGCTGCTATCCATGGCCATCCCTCCAATATTTTTCCACTAATGCTGCCCATATATCTGTTTGAAAGGGGAATTCAGGGGATTAGTGGACTCGGGGACAGAGTCAGAATTTAATCTTTGTTTTTTTTGGGGGAGGGAGTGTGGCGTATGTAGATATGTGTGGTAATACCAGAGGTTTATTACCACCAATGTACCTAGTGTTTCAAAGTTCTAATTTTACAATGAACTTTGTTGCATTATAAGTAGACAAAGGAACCAAGAAACAAGGTATCAGAAAAAAAACTATGTGCACATGGTTAATAAAATTTAGCTCAATAAAAGAGAACATCGACAATATTTCCTGATTTAAAACTAAAATTCTCTTGGAAAAAGAAAACAAGAAACACACACACTTCAAATCCGTTGTATTCAACTTTAAATATGGGCAGTTTTCCCCTACAAAACACCCATGATACAAACTTTATGTCCTCTATACTAATATTCATGGGTTCTATTCCTAACTGGTTATTACATCCAGAACAACATAAATTGAAGAATAAATAAGAGCAAAAGCCTTCAGAGTGATTTTTTTTACAAGCTTTTATATAATTTATTCGTTCTATGTTACTCTGACAACAAATTTATATGGTATCATTTGGTTTCTTATACATATAATGATTGCCAATTAAGTGAATCTAAGATTGATTATATTGTGTCTTCTAATTAGATAATTGGGATATGGATTAAAACACTTGCATTATTTTTCTATTTGTAACAGCCTGGTGAATTTCAATAATGCAAGATGAGACTGTGATGTTTCAATGGGGGATTTATTTTGTCCAGGGCCGCAATATGAAGTTTCTAAAATTTATTTTATGTGTTTTTGTGGGTTCATATAAACTAGAGGGCAAGCCCTTCTTTTTTACTATATATTTTATAGGACTTTTCAAATCCCATGACCACCCCTGGCGCCATGATGTGACTCTGCCACTTGGTGGCTAAGATGTGTCCGAGTGACCAGTGCACAATAAAGTTGCTGCAACTATCACTCTTCAATGTAAGAATTGGCTAAGCAGCGAATACATGCTGGCCTCTTATTAACCTTTTTGAACTGCACCTTTTTATATCAACAGCCATTTGATTCTCTCCCCTAATTGCTTTCTAAGCTTAGAAGTGATGAGTTTACCAATACACTTGAGCACTAGATTACTTGATTCTCCTTACTTGGATTTGCTTGGAAGTCTTTCAATGGTGTTTTATTTTGTTCTTTCATGTGGAGTTGTGGTTTTACGTAATTGTAGTCTTCCTTGTATAAAGAAGCTTCTCTTTTGCTGTCAAAAAATCAAAAGAAAAGATTTGGGACAAAGAAATTCCAGAACATCTAAACAATTATATATGGCTTGTTCACAGAGATACATGATGCATCAATTTTTCATGCAACAAAATTAGCATTACATACTTTCTTTGTATGTTCTTCCTTTTTATTGCAATGTTTTCCTTTAGATTAGCCCTGAGAATCATCGGTGCTGTGGCTTATCCCTTACTTCATGGTCGGACAAAGACTTTGTGCCACATATTTTGCGTTTTCTAAAGATATGCTGTCATCTTGCTTCTGGTCCCCTACCTCGTACAAGTATTAACATATCTATCCTTTCTGAGCAGGTACATATTGCAGGCGTGGGTGATTACAGTTTAGTTGGCATTACAGGCTTGGCTGATCCTTGCCCTTTACCTTCGGCTGCCAAAAAGAAGGGACTCCGAGACAAGGAGAAACTATTTTATGCACCAATGTCTGGGCTGGGGGATCTCCTTTATGATAAGGATGCTGTCTACATTAACATAAATGATCACTTAGTGCAGTTCTCTAAAGCTGATGATGATAACAGTGGAGTGACACGCAAAGGTATATGGTATTTTCTTTTTATTTTTGGTGAATGAAACATATACTCTTCACTTAACAATTTATACATCATACATACATACACGTATATTTATTGAAATGAAAATTTGAAAGGAACTTGTGGAGGTTAAATAATGCAAAAAGCAAAGCATGAATGTATAGCAACATTCAACTTTTTTTTTTTTGTTTTTTGTTTTTTTCCTTTTTTTTCAACTGACACATTCAACTTTGCTGGACTGGATTCATACTGTTTCAGCTAAGTGGTTGTGTTTGTATGGTCCAGGAAAGGATCGCGATGTGGGTGAGGTCCTGGTGAAATCACTTCAGAACACAAAATATTCCATTGATGAGAAGTTGGAGAAAAGTTTCATTACTTTTTTCAGCAAGAAACCTGATATCCTATCAGAAGCTTCAACTGATGTGAAATATGCTCATGAACCTTTTGATCAGACAAAAGGTGTTGAGCCTGTGGATGAACATCAGTTGGAGCAAGCATTTAAAACTGATGGGTCTGGTGAAGAAAGTGATTCTGAGGATCTGGACAGTTTGGGATCTCCAGATGACGATCAAACCTTCGGAAAGGATTTAGATATAAGAGCTGTAGTTAATGATCCTGATGAAAATAATTGTGACGCATCCGAGCAGCAGCATTCCTCTAAAATTAACTTGACGGAACATGTTGACTTTTGTGAAGGAAGGATGAGGAGAAAAGCTGTCTTTGGTAATGACATTGATCTCGATGATTTGAAGGTAATCCTATCAGCAAAAAATTTAATGTCAAGGTTTTTTAAACTTCACAACTCTGAATTTTTCCTTACTTCTATGGGAAGTTGTGTGGGGTCGACTATAACCTGATACTAAAGTGTCTGTGATGTTCTTCCTAAACGAGAAGCTTAGAAAATATGCCAGACTTTCTATTGTTTCAACTTCTATGGTTGTTGCAAATCCGTAAGTACAGTCACTTCTTGATTTTTGATGATACTGATTTGTTTGGGAAGTTAGATTCTTCTTTTTTGTCTTTTTTTGACTTTCACTAATTTAGATTATGGTAATCTTGTCCACTGTCTTGGACCTTTTTCTGTGGCCAGCAAAATCAATTTTTAATGAGCAAAGCCGCAATAAAGAAACAAGAAGAAATTAATGGGACAAAAAAGGGAGGGGTGTACCATGTACATTCAAGAAGCAATGCTAAAGCAAAAGAATCTGACTTAGAAGTGGCAGGTGTTATTCTACTTGAGCTCCGCATCCCCATTGGTTTTATCCATAACAACTTGATGTGTGCTTTTGGGTGGACTGCACATTGGCTAGGAAGATTAGTTTAGTCCTCCAAGGATAAACAAAAGCATCCAAACCTTTTGTTTATTTAGAACAAATTTCAATTTCCATCCTCATGTGGTATGCTCCCATAGCACTTTGTCCTCTTATGTTTTAAATGTAGCTACATATGCCTTAGTGATTTTTGACCAATTTGAGCAACTAATATCACGATCAGTGATGGTAAAATCGCATCTCTAACCTCATACCTCTCTAGGCCAAAATGACCACTGATCTTGTTTTAAATTACCCCGTTGTTGCACGACCTTTTACCTCCAACCCTCAGCCCCTGGGGTCTGTTCATCCACTAGCAGCATGGGTCACTTACCACAGTGCACTCATCAGCTTGCATGGGGTTGCCCAAGCAATAGCCTGGCCAAAATCTCTGCCCCATCCACACAACCCCCTCCTTCACCTGTCCCCACCCTCAAACCTCCACCCGGTAAGCCCCAAACTCCCTGCCCCCATCGATGGCTGAATCCTCTTCCCCCACCTCATGCCTCGAACTCTCTCTAAGCTTAATCCGAATTGTGCAAATATTGGTGGGTGTTAAGTTGAGATAATTAATATAACACAATATTAGAGAGAAAGAGAGAGGTTAAAAACATAATCTAACTCTTATACATCACTTGTATTTATAATTAACCTACAATAATAAGAATTACACATACACCCTCTTACTATTAACAATTTACACATACTACCCCACTATTCTTAACATTCCCCCTCAAGCTAGACTATATATATCATATAATCCAAGCTTGGAACAAGTGTATGCCTCAATGTTTTGGTAAACATATCTGCAAGCTGATTTTTAGATTTCACAGATGGAGTTGTAATCTTCCCAGCTACTATCTTGTCCCGAATAAAGTGACAATCAACCTCAATATGCTTGGTTCTCTTGTGAAACACAGGATTGACAGCAATATGGATAGATGCTTGGTTATCACAGAACAACTGTAAAAAGAGTTGAACTGAAAATCCAATTTCTTGGAAGAAGTGTAGTAGCCAAGTCAACTCACTCGTCGTATGTGTCATTGCCCTATACTCTGCCTCAGTACTAGATTTTGCTACTACGGATTGTTTCTTACTTTTTCATGAGACAACATTATTTTCTAAGAAAGTACAATAATCAGTGGTTGATCTCCAATCAAAAGGAGAAGCAGCCCAATCAGAATCTGAGAAACCTTTCACTCTAAGATGTCTATTAGCTCGATATAACAGTCCAAGTCCACGAGCTCGTTTGAGATATCGCAGAATATGAGTGACTGCCTCCCAATGTGTTATTCTAGGACATCCCATGAACTGACTTACTATACTGACTGCATAGGAAATATCCGGTTGAATAATAGTGAGCTAATTAAGCTTCCTAACCAATCTGCGATACCGACCCGGATTCTCAAACAATGTACCTTCATCCATCAATAATTTCTGATCTGGATCCATAGGAACATCAATCGGTCTACCACTCAAACTTGCTTCTTCAAGTATGTCAAGTACATATTTCTTCTAGGATAAACAAATACCCTGTTTAGATCGAGCCACCTCAATATCTATGAAATACCTGAGTTTTCTCAAATTCTTAGTAAGAAATTGATCCTGTAAGAATATTTTTAACTTGACAATCTTCTCAGAATCATTTCCAGTAATTACAATATCATCTACATAGACTACCAATAGGACATATCCAGCATATGTCTGTCTATGAAACACAGAATGATCTGTCTGACATCGAAGAAGACCAAACTCTAAAGCTGCATCTGAAAATTTACCAAATCATGCCTTCGGCTACTGTTTCAAACTATACAAAGATTTCTTTAACAGACATACACTTTTATCATACTCCTCTTGAGCAGTAAATCCAGGTGACTAATCCATGTATACCTTCTTCAATCAAGTCACCATGTAGGAAGGTATTTTTGACGTCTAACTGAAACAAGGGCTAATCAATATTAGCAACCAAAGAAATCAAGATACGAATAGAGAAAATTTTGGCAACAGGAGAAAAAGTCTCCTCATAATCAACACCATAAGTTTGAGTAAAGCACTTTGCAACAATTCGGGCTTTGAGATGCTCCACAGAACCATCTGGATAAAATTTAATAGTATACACCTAACGATAGCCAACAGTTCGTTTACCAAGGGGTATAGGAACGAGATCCCAAGTCCTAATATGATATAAAGCATCCATCTCCTCTTCTATAGTTTTCCTCCAACTCGGATCAGATAATGCATTTTGTAAATGCTTAGAAATAGATATAATAGATAATTGGGAACTAAAACAGGAGAAGAAAGGAGACAAGACATCATATGAAATAAAATGAGAAATATGATGGTTAGTAATACATGAACGAGTACCTTTGCGAAAAGCAATAGGTAAAGAGTCTAAATTACTTGATGTACCAGGATTAGAAGGCGGCAAGAAAGACGGTATATGCATCGCAGTCGATGGGCGAGGACAGCGAGAGTAGACACGGAGAGGTAAAATAGATGGTAACACAGTGGGCAACGAAATATCTGAAGATAAGGAAAGAGATGGTGGTACAGGAGATGATCTAAAGTCCAGATTCAAAAGCTGAGAAGGTGCTGGAAAGTATAGAACAGATTTTTTAAACGTGACATCGGTGCTAGTAAAGTATCGGCGCAGAGAAGGACTGTAGCAACGATACCTCTTCTGCGTGCGGGAGTAATCAAGAAATACACATTTGGTAGCTTGAGGGTCAAGTTTGTCAAACTCAGGACCCAAATTGTGAACATAACAGACACATTTAAAAATTTTAGGAGTCAAGGAAAATAAGGGCTTACTAGAAAAAAAAGACAGAATATGAACTTTGCCCATTTAACATAGAGGATGACATACAATTAATAAGATGACAAGCATTAAGAACAGTATCACTCCAAAAATATTGGGGAATATTCATCTGGAATAACAGGGCATGGGTGATTTTCAACAAATGACGGTTCTTGTGTTCAGCAACACTATTTTGTGGAGAGGTGTAAGCATAAGAGGTCTGATGAATAATGCCAGTTTTACTAAGATAAGCTGAAAAAGGAGCAGATTCATATTTTCGAGCATTATTGGAACGTAAAGTACGTATACGATAACCATACTGAGTTTTTATTTCTTTACGAAAAGTCTCAAATATAGAGAATAATTCAGATCGAGCATTCATCAAAAATAACCAAGTCACATGAGAATAGTTATCCACAAATGTCACAAAATAAGGATATGTATTAGATGAAATATTTTTTATTGGACCCCATACATCAGAATGGACTAATTCAAATGGATTAGACACACGATTATTGATTTTAGACTGAAATGACACACGGTGATGCTTACTAAGTTAACAAACTTCACAAGACAAAGACGATATATAACTAAGACTGAAAATTTGGCGCTTCAGATTCTGGAGAGAGGGATGTCTAAGATGACAATGCCATTGAAAAGGAGACAACAAGGTCTGTAGAGCCCGGGTAGGTGAATCAAAGTCAAGGTAATAGGCCACCAGCTTCATGTCCTGTACCAATCTTCCTCTTCGTCTTGAGATCCTGAAAGACACAATAAGAGGGATAAAAGATTACAGAATAATTGAGAAAACGGATAATTTTGCTAACAAAAAATAAACTAAAAGGAAACTAAGGAGCAAATAACACGGAAGATAGGGACATATCAGGACTCAAGTGAGTAATCTTCAGACCTGAAACTTTAGAACAAGTACCATTAGCAAGAGTAACACCATGTGTGAAAGTAGCAAACTGATAAGTAGAAAAAATATCAGACGTATTAGTCATGTGGTCAGAAGCGCCAAAGTCTATGATCTAAGGATTGTGAGTGGAGAACAATAGACAAGTGGAAGCAGTACTTGACTGGGCAAAAGTAGCAGTGGAGGGAGATGGAACAGCCTGTTGCTGGGACAGGAACTGAGCATACTCTTCTCGTTTAATAGTAATCGACCCAGTGTCTAGTGGAGTTGACCAAGGTATGGAAGCTATAACAGAGGTGTCATCGTGATGAGAAACCTGATTCGTAGTACTAGAAGGTTTTTCATGTAAATCCCAACAAAAATCAACAGTATGCCCTCCATAACCATAGTGAGTAGAGTAACGTGCTCCACTACGGCCACCACGACCACCCGTACGACCTCCTCGACAACCACGACCACCTCGATGACCATCACTATGACTATTAGGAATCACAAGAGCTGAGCGATTAGTGGAAACACCCTGATTGATACCTGAAGTAGACAAAGTAGCACGCTGTATACGGGAGAAAACCTCAAGTAATGAGGGAAGAGTAGAACCACCCAAAATTTGAGAACGAATACCCTTATATTTAGGTTTCAAATCTACGAAAAACTTAACAACATTCATGTCCCCATGTTGCTTTTGCCAAACTGTTGTATTAATAGTAAATGGATGGTAGGTCTTCATCTCCTCACAGACTCCCCGAACGTGAGAGTAATAATCCTCAATGCTTAGATTATTATGTTCCAATTGGAAATACTCCTTGCATACCTCATAAGCTCGGGTAAAATTGTCCGTACCAGAATACATAGTGGCCAAGTGATCCTATATCTCCTTGGCAGTGTTAAGGTAGAGCAGAGTAGAACTAATACTAGGCTCAATGCTATTCAATAGTAAAAAAATAATTTGAGCATCCTCTTGTTCCCACTTATCATACCATGAAGTGCCTTTCTTGGGTTTAGGATTCACAAAATATTTCTTAAATCCTTTGTCTCGAAGAAAAACTTGAATAGATCGGGACCATAAAGTGTAATTAGTCCCATTAAGTTTGATAGAGGTCATGAGACCATTAATAAGAGTCAAAGGAGGTAAAGATGGAGTTAGAGACCTGGTATCTTGCTTGGGTTCCATAATAGTGTAGCAAATAGGAAACAAGAAGTGTTGCAAAACTGAACTAGAAAAAAAAAGGGTTGTTGGAAGACTAAATCGGACTGGAAAAGGGCTGGACCACTGAACCAATCTGAAAAAGGGAGCTCGACCCACTGAACCGGTCAAGCTAAGCCCTCTGGAAGACTGAACTGGACTAAAAGAGGGGGTTGGACCACTGAACCGGTCAAGTTAAGCTCTCTAGAAGACTGAACCAGACTGAAAAAGGGGGCTAGACCACTGAACTGGACTAGCTGAGACCTCTGGACTGCTGAACCGTACCGGTTTTACTTGCTAGATCACAGAATCGGGCCGGTTTGACTTCCTGACCAGCTGAAAAGGATCAGCTGGACCTTCTGAACCGATCTAAGATAGACGGAGTCTTGGGTTAGACCGTGGGTTGGGCTTAGACTTAAAATAATTTAAGTCGATGGGTTTGACCTTGGCTTGACCCTATCTGACCCAACCCGTTGTATCTTTTCTTCTTCGTTGAGGTTAGGGTTCCCAGAGAACCCTCTGGTCTTCGACGGCGCCACACACCACCACAGTCACACCTCCACCACAAACAACACTACTCAACGATGAACAGGGACCACACCATCACTATGAACGATCACCCAACCACACCAACAGTCGCCAACAGTCAACGATGAACAGAGATCGCCCCACCATCACGAGCGATCACGCCACCACACCAACAATCGATAATGAACAGGAACCACCACAATAACATAACCACACTACCACACGCCACCACAATAACACAGCCACACCACCACAACAATGGTAATAAATTTAAGATTGTAAAAGCTCTGATACCATGTTAAGTTGAGATAATTAACATAACATAATATTAGAGACAATATTAGAGAGAAAGAGAGAGGTTAAAAATATAACCTAACTCTCATATATCACTTGTAATTATAGTTAACCTACAATACTAAGAATTACACGTACACCCTCTTACTATTAACAATTTATACATACTACCCTACTATTCTTAACAGTGGGGAAGTGAGTCGGGAGAAATGGTGGTGAATAGTGGCTGTTGATAATATTGATGGGTAACTGTATTGATGAGAGTAGGGGCAGACTGGTGTGGAGTGGAGGGCGGAGAAGGGGAGTCGTGGGCATGTGGGGGCCATGTGTGAGAGAGAAGAAGAGGTTTTGTATGTATATTTCTGCCACCATTTTACTTTTTTAATTGATAATTTTCATGTACTCTTTCTTTTTTTATTGAATTTTGCCGAAAGTGGTTGGGATGGTGATTATGGGGAGATGATGGTGACTAGTGGTGATGGCGATAGTAGGCTGGTTTACTTAGAAAATGGGGGTAGACTAGTGTAGAGAGAGAAAAGGGGGGAGGGTATTTTGTCATTTCTAAGGAGTTGCAAGGGCATATTTGTCTTTTAGCCATCATGATTTTGGAGTGTAAAAGCTTTTTTCATGTCTAGTCACCAAACAGGGGTGTCTTATATGTCATGTCAACTGGGACAGAAAGTGTAACAGTTGCATGTCAGTACAAAACCACATTAGGGTTATGTGACTAGATTTTAACTATAAGGATTGAAGTGCTAAAGTGGTATACCACAAGGGTGTAAAATAGAAGTTGTTCATTTACTCACTCATTTTGTTTTACGAAAGAACATCGTAGTCTTAAACACCAAAATATCACATAAACAAAGTTCACCCAATCATTCATTGCTTGTTTGAAACATTCAGTGTAATAGACTGTACAAGTTGGCACACTATTGATACTGGGGCTATGGTGTACAACTGAATGAAATATAGGTATTGTGCACACTCTTCTGCTTTTGTTTTTTTTTTTTTTTTTTTGGGTCATTCTTCTGCTTTTGTTAGCTTACCCTTTTTTGGTCTGCTTTTCTGACTAATACTTGGAGTATTGAATACAATTGTTCCAACTTACAAACTTTTCAGCATGATGTTAAGAGATGTTTCTCTGTACTTAAATACTTTGGCTTCACTTCATTACAGGAGGACACAGAGGAAGATGATGTGGATGATAAATCATCTGCTAATTCAGATTTTTCAGAGGAAGAGGAAGAGGAGAGGAAGAGGAAGAGGAAGAGGAAGAGGAAGATCATGATACAGATGGTATCATGCTCTCTCACTTATTGTTATTTTTCTGTGTCTGGTAGTGTTCTTGTTTGAATTTGTATTTGTATTTTGGGAAGTAAATAGTTATTATTTGATAAGACGGATCACAATTTTATCTTGGTTATAGTATGGTTGATGGCTTGTAGGTCTGCTTGTGCAAGTTCAGTAGCAGCAAAAGATCAAATGAAAATTGAATTGTTTTTTTATTAAAAGACAATCAATTGCTTAAACTTTGTCTGGGAAGAATTTTCCAGCCAGATTGTGGTACTTTGCTTCTGAATTTTTTCCCCGTTTCTGATCTCCTGTTACTTGTCATTGTAGAAGATGAGTTGGGAAATGCTTCAAACTGGAAAGAGTCCTTGGCGGAAAGAACCATTTCAAGACAGCATACAAATCTTATGCTACTCATATATGGGAAATCTGAATTCAAGTCAAGTTCTTATGCTGATGAGGCTCAGGGTAGCAGTGAAGATGAAGAAAGTGAGGATGGTGAGTTCTTTGAGCCGAAAGGAGAAGGAAAAAAGGTTTGTCTTTCAGATGCTATTGATTTCGAATCCTTTTCCTCTTTCCTTAGATTAGGATGCGTTCGTCTTTATATCCTAGAGTAATAGGTTTGAGGATCCTTTGAACATAGTTTGATTGCTTGAATTAATACCTTTCAATTTCTCCATGGTGTCTGATTTATAACAGAAACTGGGGGAAGGATTAGGTGGTGATAATGTAAATATTGAGGATTGTTCCAAATTCACAAATCGTGCTAGTCTGAATAACTGGAGAAAAGAAGAGTTTTCTGAAAGCATTTGTGACCGTTTTGTCACTGGTGATTGGTCAAAGGCTGCTCGCAGAGGTCAAGTCTCAGAAGCTGATAGTGTTGATGATGATGATGATGAAGTTTTTGGTGATTTTCAGGACATGGAAACAGGTGAAAAATTTGAGAGCCATCAAACAAGTGATAATGGTGATGATCATGTGATACACAAGGACAATGATGTAACAATCGAGGAGCGAAGGCTTGAAAAGCTTGCTCTTCGTGCAAAATTTGAGGCTCAATATCCTTTCCCCTGTAATATTATAATTTCATTTCCCATCTCTGTGTGGGTGTGTGCATGCGTGTGTGAGACTACTTGCTGTTGGGGAGATGTTTAATGCTAAGATTTACTATTGTTTCACGAATCACTATTTGTCACGTGTGACTTGGTTATTATGATTGGTTTTTGTTAGCAATGTTGCTTCTTTTTTTTTGTCATATTTGCTTTTTCCAAGGGTTTAGAAATATTGAAAAATCAGTTTTGTGACCTTAATTGTGATCTACATATGATGGGTCAGAATCACCTGATGAGGAAAATGACAACAAACAGGGAACCAAGTTTCATCGGAACCAAGCTACTGAAAGTGGCTTTGTTGATAAGGTGCACTTTTTCATCAGCTTGATACATATTTTTCCTGCTATTTTGAAAGAATTAAGATTAACTTATGGGGTGATGTAGCTCAAGGAGGAGATTGAACTTCGGAAGCAACTTAATATTGCTGAACTCAATGATATTGACGAGGCCACCCGGTTGGAAATTGAGGGATACAGGACAGGGACTTACCTCAGATTGGAGATTCATGGTGTTCAATGTGAGATGGTTGAACATTTTGATCCCTGCCATCCTATTCTCGTTGGAGGAATTGGTCTTGGTGAGGAAAATGTTGGATACATGCAGGTTAGAAATCCAATTGATTTGAATAATTCTTCTAGTTTCCTTATATTAAGTTAAGTCACAGCTCAAACTAAAGAAGTAGCAGGAAAATAATTTGTTGTCACCTTCCCCATCCATTTTCCCTTTCTACTTCTCATCCAAATGAATCGCGTGAATATTTAGGGCTGCTGCCCTGGAAATTCAACGAATAAGAGAAATATCTGAAATGGCTCGAAAGAGAACTGATTTTGGGTATTCAGGCTTATGGGATGTTGGGTACTGACTTTATTCTACTTAGCTGTCCCTGTCCAGCAATATGTTCTTTCTGAAGAAAAGGGGAAGCTCGGGTCAACTGACTTTGTTTTGAGAAATTTGACATGACAAGTCTTACTATCATTAGTCTCATGCATGAATTTAGATTATGTAAATCTGGAAATGGGTAAAAATCAATTCTTAGTTGATTTTGGTGATATGTACTAGATAGTGTTGTAAATGAGATTTTAGGCTGACAATAATAAGAAAAATGAAGTAATGCGATTCCTATAGCCGACTCTAAATAGTTGGAACAAGGTTTTGACTAGTTGAGTTGAGTAGAAACATGAAACGAATTTGTCCTGAAGTTAGAATATAGAATGTCGATAATCTAATACCTTTTAACGAGTAATAGCATGTAGCATCTATGGTGTTAGTTTGTGGATATACTAGACTGAAGCAATATCATGTATTTTTCATACCTATTCTTCGTAAGTTGACACGCCTGTACAGTGGACACAAGTTCTTATTCAATAGTCAGTAATGTTCTTGGTGGATAATTATATATTATGTTTTGGTATATGTAATAACTCCACCTCCCTTCCACATCTCATGGTTCTTTTTTTTTTTTCTTCCAGGTTCGATTCAAGCGGCATAGATGGCACAAAAAAGTACTGAGAACCAGAGACCCGATAATAGTTTCGATTGGATGGAGGCGATACCAAACTACACCTATTTATGCTATTGAGGACTGTAATGGTCGTCATCGTATGCTCAAGTACACTCCTGAGCACATGCACTGTCTTGCCATGTTTTGGGGCCCTCTTGCACCTCCTAATACTGGTGTAGTCGCTGTTCAAAATTTGTCAAACAATCAGGTTAGATTGTTTTTTCCTTTGTTCCACAAATTCCCTACTTGATTGATCCGGAAGAACAGCTGTCGAATTGAAACCCTGCTCAATTCAATAGTTCTCAGCCGTTCTCTGTCTCAATTTATTGGAAAAATGAGAATGAAAGAATATTAGTTTTTGTTTAATTTGAACGGGTATTATATCTTTTATACAAGGATCAAAATTTTGTTTCGGTGCATTAATTCAGTCACCTAGGAAACGAAAATATTTCAATGTGTTTCGGAAACGTTTTGACCCGTTTCAGAAACAGAATGAAAAAAATAAAAAATTTAAAAATTATTTTTTCAAAATATTGGTCGAAATATACCAAAAATATAATGAAATATTTTGAAACATTCCAAAATAATTGTGCAAATATATTGAAATATAACAACATTTTGAAACATTATGGAACACCTCGAAGGATTAGAAATTCGATTCCATTATTGATTCGTTTCGGTTTCCTTTGAAACGTTTCGAAAAGATATTTTGATCCTTGCTCTTATAATGAATAGTTTAGGTGAGAATGCTGGCTAATGTATCCATTTTAAATGTGAACACAAACCATTTCCAGCTATTAGTGGCCTGACATTCTTACTTAATTAAAAGAGGTTACATAAATCATTCATATATAATCCATTTATATTCGTTTTAATCTGCTTTTGCAAGCCTTTTCAACAAGGATATTGATTGGATTTGAATTATCTTGTTTTCTGTTAACAGACTCCTATGCCCCTTCTGCCAAACCACTTCAGTTTCTGGGTGTGTTACTTTTTGTGTATTCCTTCTGTTGAGCTCACTGTATATGCAAAAAGAACTTTGTTTCATACTAATTCTTAATAGAACAATCACATTCTCTTCATTGTAACACTGGCAGGTGTTTTTTGTGTTCTGATTATTTGGTTACAGTTATCTTAGTATTCTTATTTTTTTAGCTAAGAAAGCAAATTGAACAAAAATGGGTCATAAATTAGGTCCATGTTAATCGAAGGTGTTGGGAGAGATCAGTGTTATTTAAGGCGTAAAGCGAACCGAAGCGACCAAGGCTCCTAACGCCTAGGCGAGAAGCGAAGCGACAAGTATTACCGAAGCGTAGCGAACAGTTAAAAAAACAGAACAGAGGCACATTCACATGGACTAAACAACATTTCATAATAATTGTAAATAATTTCATATGTACTGAATAAAAAAAGAGGTAGAACAGGGGCACATTCACATGTACTAAATAACATTTCATAATAATTGTAAACAATTTCATATTTCACATATATCGAATGCATTAAGTCTTGAGTTTTCATTTGTTTGTATAATTTTTTTAAACGTTTAATTCCATCAATATCAATAAGAAAAAAAAGGAATGTGTTTTGTTCGAAGCATTGCTTATTAGAAAAAAAAAAAAAAAAAAAGACCAGCGATCATAAAAAAAAGTCATCAGTGCTTAAAAATAAAAGAGATTCTTAGTTGGAGCAGAATCAGAAAAAAAATAAAAAATAAAAAATAAAAAAGAGCAAAAATCGGTGAGGAAAGGGGCAGCAGAGAGAAGAAGAGAGAAGAAAAAAAGAGAAATAGAAGAGAGAAGAAAAAAAGAGAAATAGAAGAGAGAAGAAGAAGAAGAGAGGAGAAGAAGAAGAAGAAGAAGAAGAACCTGTTCCCTGTGTCGGTGAGGAAGCATCAGTAGTGGTTGTGTAGCAGCGAAGGCAGTGATCGTGTTCCCTGTGTCCAGCGATGGTCCAACAGCTCCGGCGATGGTCCAGCTCCAGCGATGGTCGTGTATCAGCGACAACAATCGTGCAGAGCTCCAACGAAGGCAATTTGAAAAAAAAAAAGGTTTGGGGTTGTATTTATGGGGTAAGGGAATAATTCGGTGTATCCATGTCTTAATTTTTTTTTTTTCAATTGCCTAATCAACGACACATAATCAAAATAAAAAAAACGCTTCAAACCGTTAAAGCGCTAGCTTTTTCACCTATCGCTTAAGCGACAGGCGCTCGCTTTGTTCGCTTTTTTCTCGCTTCGGCCCCATTCGCTTCGCCTGAGGTCCTCTAGGCGAGCTACCTTCGCCTTGCCTCACTTCTCGCCTAGGCGCGCTTTTCAATACACTGGGAGAGATGGATTTGGTTAAGATTTAAATTTGGCAATATTTGCACAAAGCAGTTGCCTCAGATACGGGTCCACTGGTAAGTGCTCCTAAGAAAGCGAATGGGTCACAATATTTGATGTGTCTTTGAAGTAGAAGGGTTTGTGGTGGGTTAATTAACATTTTTAGACATATTGGTCTTCAACAAGTACAAGTTATATATGAATTCTTCCTGCACCTACCCTTTGTCTTCCTCCCTATTTGGTATCACTTCATCTTCCACTTCCCCGCCCGGGGGGAGAGAGAAGAAGATAGAAAAATGAGACTCACTAGTGGAATTTTTTGTGTTAAACATTTTTTAAAATGATTTTATTGTGCCCACCCTAATATTTTCGTATAAACTAACATAAAATGATTGAGCATGTTATGGACTTTCCAAAAAATGTGGTCCCGAAATTTGTCCCCCCTACTTCTCCAAATGGGTCCACACAAAGAAGAATTCTGCCCCCCTTCTTGCCCCCCCAAAAAAAATTCTATTTCTTTGGGCAATGGAAAACTCCACAACTTTACTTTGATACCATCTTTCAACCAGAAATGTAGTTACAACATATTTTTTTATTATATTATATTAAGCATCAACATGCATTTATTACTACGTCAGAAAACTAACTAGCATATATGCACGTACCTTGTTATTGTACACATAGCAAGTGGACGCTTTTTGCTTGATTTGTCATCGTAGTGCACAACACGGATCTAAAAAAAGGAAAAATAACTCTTTAAGTTCAAAAATTTTTAGTTACCCATCAAACTCCCAAACTCGGACATGGATCGAGATGTCGTCTTTTTCTACAAGTTTTTATATCCGAGTTGTGGGTTTTTGTTCGTTTTCAAGTGAACCGGAATGAAAACAAGTTGATCGGAATGCTTAGGTCCAAGATTATGAAATTCTTAAGTTTTTTAGTTTCTAGTTTTCCATTGAACTCCATAATCGGGGCTCAGACGATATGCTGTATTTTTTAAAATTTTTTATATTTGAATAGTTGGTCTCAGTTCGTTTTCAAGTCAAACGGAGCGCAAACAGGTTGATTGGATGAAGAAATTCTTAAGTTTTTCATCAAACTCAAAGATTGAGACCTGGATTGAGACGCAATCTTTTCCTACAAGTTTCTACATTTGTGTTGTGGATCTCGCTTCATTTTCGAGTAAATGGGATATAAAAGAGCTGATCAAGACCCTTAGGTTTAATGTTATTTAATTCTTAATTTTTTTGAATTTAGTTTTCCTTAAAACTCCAAAACTGGAGCTAGGATTGAGACGCCACGTTTTCCTACAAGTATCCGTCCATTTTCAAGTTAGGCAAAGGAAAAACGGGTTGATCGGGACATTAGGTAGAATTTGAAGATTATGAAATTCTTAAGTTTTTATGTTTTTAATTTTTAGTCAAACTCCAAAATCGGGGCTAGAATCGAAATATTATCTTTCCCTAAGTTTTTATATTCGAGTTGTGAGTCTCCATCTGTCTTGAAGCCAAACAAATTGAAAATGGGCCGATTGAGACTATTAGGTCCAATTTGAAGGTTATAAAATTATTAAGGTGATGTAGATCGTAATAGTTTTGATACTAAATTGATGTAGACTAGGAAGGGAAGAATTAGGGATAAAAAGAGAAGAAGAAAGGGATGAGAAAAGAGAAATTTTTTTGAGAAGGAAGCAATATCAGTATTCAATAATAATCAAAGTCTAATCTAAATAAAAGCCTTACATGCATCCTTTTATATAGGGAAACTAAAACGCTAAAGTAAATAAATAATGATAAATAGACTCCCAAAAATTTTAAAAAATTACTTAAAAGATAAATATTAAAAATATCTAAATAACTCTCATAATTAATCTATAATATCTATTCAATTCCTATACGATCCTCATCATTCTCCTCCGGGAAGTCTTCAAAGTAGAAGTACTCTAAGAGAGCAGGATGAAAGATGATATAATGCCTCATCTAAAATGAAAGAACCATCGACTTCTTTTCATCGACCAGGATAAATGCAAGAATTCCATCCATATGGACACCTACTAATAAAATAGGAGGCTCTGAAGTATCTCGATTAAGTAGTATGACCTCCAAATAAAAATCTGGACTAATACCTAACGTTCAATTGAAAATTAAGCAAATAAGCATTAGATCCAAACTCGAGAATAGCAAAATAATTCTCATTAGGTCTCAACAAAAAGTATTCAATGGGACAAGATATTGATGACAAAGGAATAACAATAACGCTTTGGTGGTGAAAATAATTAAGTACTAACTCAAGGGAAATTTTGATAGTAGGACTAAAGTAAACTATTTCAGAGGAGAAAGACTTGGGAACAAAGTTAGATTGACTTGAAATAGGAGACAAAACAATCACCAAAAGATTCTGAAATGTGTAATTCAATATACTCAACATCTTTCATAAGTGTGGACTCAATAGACTTTTCAACAAGTTTCATTACAAGTGGTGACTCAACATTTGACTCCAGCAAATGCTCAAACTCACATTCTTCAGGTATTGACTTTTGTTGGTATGAAAGAGGCGAGCTTTGATCTGATGAAACCAAACAAAGGGATTGGTAGTTGACATGAGAAACATCTTTTTTCCTTTAGGTGAGAATGTGTAATCCAAATCCATGGTTATCCTGGAATTAGGAAAACATGCAGAAACAACTTGAATATCATTCAAATAATCATGATAATTATATGTGGTGGAATTAAAATTGAAAGGTATTATGTCACACTGTTTAGCATATTGTGATTGAGAACCCATCAAGCTATAGTTGGATTTCTTATGAAATCTCTCAACCTTTAGAGCATATTGATAGGCTGCTATTAATGTTTTAAAAGTATATAGCTTGACCTCCCTACTAGTTTTTGGTCTCAACTCAAGAATAAACTAGTCAATTGTCCAAGGTT